AGATTGTAAGAGTCAGAGATGATGCTGGCTAGTAGTGGCACATACCTTTAACCCCAGCGCTCAGAGGCAGAGGCAGGTAGATCTCTGTGAGTTCTAGGCTAGCCTGGTCTACAGAGTGAGTTCCAGGACAGGCTCCAAAGCTACACAAAGAAACTGCATCTTGAAGCAAAAAAAAAGTCAGAGGGGATGGAGGATATCAGGAGAACAAGGCCCTCCTAAATAAGGCACATATGAACTTACAGAGGATGAAACACCACACATGGGGCCTACATGCATCTGGACATGCAGCCTGTTCCTTAGAGTAATTAGTTTCCTACAATCTTCTGTGTATATATTATAGCAATTAGGTTAGTAGTTTTATGGGACTCCTGACTATGAAAACTAGTGGCTCACTGACTCTTGTGCCTGCTCTAGGGACTCTTCCTCCTGTTGAGTTACTGTGTCCAACTTCAACATTATGTTTTTCCTTCATCTTATTATCTTATTTTATTTTGTCATGTTTTGTTGTTTTTTCTTAGAAGCCTGTTCTTTTCTCATGAGAGACAGAAAGGAAGTTGGTCCTGAGGTGAGCGGAGCTGGGGAGGAGTGAAGATAGGGAAAAGTATAATCAGGATATATTGTCTGAGAAAACCATGCGTTTTCAATTAAAAAAATAAATTATATAAAAATAAACCTTCATGTACAGTTTCTATGGTACATGAAAGCTTGTGGACATTATAAAGTGAAAAACTCAGTGACTATCAGACAAAAGTAATGGAAAGATTGTAAGGTAAGAGCCAAGGTAAGGGAGAAAGTGAGTGAGACAGTATCTTCTAGACATGATAGAGCTCCCGCTTTCACCAGCATACAGCAGTCATGGTTGTCTGGACAAGATCTTCATGAGATCTAGCCAGTCAGCACTAAAGCATGGAGCCCTAGCACTAGCTGATGGACTAGTTGGTGTTGGACTAGTTGGATACATAGTTGATGGTTTCTAGTGCAGCAAGAGACAATCTTGGTAAGCATGTGGTCTCTGATAAATTGACTATGCTCCCTGCAGTGACTGATCCTTTACCAGGTGCCCTCCCACGTTGGACTCAGTGTTTAAAATGTGAACATAATGTGGCAGAGGATGAGGGATGATGGTTGATTGGGTGGGGGGATGGGGAGATGAGTATAATGTAATACATTGTATGTATGTATCAAACTTTCAATTATAAATGTATTAAAATAAAAAAATTCTTCTGTTAAACCAGTATAAGCAGGATAATCATCAGTAGAGAACCATATGTGTTTAAGTATATTTATGTAGCTTGGAAATTCTGAAATTTAAAGGAGGTATTAAACATTCTTCTAAACAGACAGAGAAGAGTATTCAAACAAAACTGTAAACTGGTTTATTCTTCATCTAATACAAATATATAATATCCTCTATCAAATGCTTCTGAAGATGACAGCAGAACCTTGAGAAATATACCTTTTGTTTACTTCAGAAAAGTAACTCATGCCACACTGTACAAGTTAATAAAATTTTCACAAAACGTTGTTATAATATTCCAGTACTAGCTTTAAGAATTCATTAAGTAATGGGGATCCTATGTGGATAGTTTCTTCATCATCTTTTCAGTCCACAAGAAACACTATATTATTAGCAAAGCATTTCTGCAGCCCTCACAATTCATACAGTGAACTGTAAGAGGTCAACTTGGGTTTTCATTGTATTAGCACTTATATGCAGAGTAATTCCCAAAGTTGATGACAACATGACTTTAGAAGAAGTGCTTGGCAAGTATGACCCTTCGTGGAAGACTAGAATCAAACATCCAGCTGCAGTTGCAGTGTCTCATTAAAAACAGTGTAATTGCTTAGGAATTATGTCTAAAAGCAAAAAGAAGTGCTCAAGTAAGAAGCAGCCTTGAAAACAAGAAATAATGTAACATAAAGTACCTCTCATGAGATGTCCTCAAGCAAAGAATCTTGATTTGCAAATGGTTCCTACCTGATACTGTAAAGTGGTTTACCAATTAACAGAGCGATTAACAGTATCAAAAAATTAATCCTAAGTATTTCAGAATTTATAAATTAAATCTTCCATTGAATTTGTTTTCTGTTGTCATCTATTGCTGGGCATGTAGTCTGCCTGTTCCTACCTCAGTTCCCTAGTGGGACATCCTTGAAGGAAACTAAATTTTCTCTGCAAGTGATTATTGTTTTGAGATAGCTTTTGAATTAGGGTAGGTGCATGTGTCCACTTCTCTTTTAAACTCTAGGACCCCCCATCTGGTGCAGGTCCTGTGCCTGCTGCCTCAGTCTCTGTGAGTTCATGTGTGCATCAATCCTGGTAATATAGAGGCCTTGTTTTCTGACTGTCCTCCATCCCCTCTGTCTTAGGCTGTTTCTGCCTCCTCTCCATGGGGTGTTCTAAGCTCCGTGAGAAGGGATTTTATGAAAATATCTCATTTAGTGTTGATTATCCCATGGTCTTTCACTCTCTGCATAGTGTTTGTTCTGTGTTCTTGTTATTCGTTCTCAGCTGCCGCAGGAGGCAGCTTCTCTGATGTTGGCTGAGCAGTGAGTAAAGCGGAATGTCATTGGAGGCCAATTTGTTTGCTACTATTTTTGTTTGTTTGTTTGGTTGGTTGGTTGGTTTGTTGCTTTTTGGTTTTTCTTTGGTTGATCTTTTTTATTTTTGTTTTTGTTTGCTTGAGAGGAGTAGTATTTGGTTTTACCATAGGTCTGAGCTATCTAGACTTAGGTTCTTCGGTCATACAAACAGTTAATTTAATGGGTTCCATCTTGTGGAGTCGAGCTTAAATTTAATCAGATATTCTTTACTTACTCACACAAGTTTATATATCAGACTATGACAGCATTGCGGATCAAAGAGTTTGTGGCGGTGTTGTTGTTTCTGTTTCTCCTTTGTGTTGTACACTGTCCTGTCCTGTACACAAGCTGCTAGAACGTAGAGGTGAAGGTTCTATAAACCTTCTATAAAGGGAAGTAAGGTAGAGATTGCAGGTGGGGAGACGGTGGGAAATGGATTTGGCTTGTAAAATGAGAAAATATAGTTTTAAAAATAAAAATAAATTGAATCTAAAAAAATGAAATGTGGAAAAGGGCACAAAATAAGATCCATTTCAATAATTATAATACATTAGAGTAAACTTATCAGTAGAAATTAAAAGTAACAATACAAAATTTATATATGTGGCTTATAAAAGACTAAATATATAATCTAGACTATAATCTATAAGACTATTATCTAAAGCATCAAAGTAGGGAATGTAGAAAGAAAACTTCATTAGGCATTGTGTGTGTTGAAGAGTGATTATTTGATATTTACCAGTTTGTTTTGTTGCTTCATATATGCTTTTAAGTCTTATTTTACATATTTTACGTATTTTCTTTTTGTTTTGTTTTGTTTTCGAGACAGGGTTTCTCTGTGTCACATCCCTAGCTGTCCTAGAACTAGCTCTTGTAAACCAGGTTGGCCTTGAACTCACAGAGATCCACCTACCTCTGCCTTCTGAATGCTGGGATTAAAGGCATGCCCCACCACTGCCAGGCTTGAATTTACATATTTTTGTATTTTTTTAGAGTGTATATTGTCACTGTCTTCCAATGAAATTATAAGGAACATAGTATTAGCTACCAAATTAATGTATAGAGATATTATTAGACTAATAGATCGTTTAATGTGTTATATGTTTTGAAATGATTGTTGCCAATCATTTTTCACATATACCTATGAAACTATTTCTGTAATAAAATGAATGTATGTACATGAAAGAGTTTTAACCTCCTTAAAGAAAGCAGGGTCAAGAATCTATTTTAGATTACTGATTCTGATACCAAAGCAATTGACATCTTAATGTTATTTTTAAAACTCATCTGATTCTACAAAATTTGACATAGGTTATCACTGAAATTAGTATGTGAGATTTTGCCTACAGGTAACTACAGATGTCTTTGGGAGGAGAAACACTCTTAGAATGACCATTCAAACTGCCTGTTAAACATTTGCTCCTATTCCAGGCCTACCTATCTTAAGTCATATATTTCATATTGCTGCTCTATCAAATTATCATTAGTTTTGTGACTAGAAGCAGTAAAGATTTATTATCATGTAATTCTATGTATCAAAAGTTCACTACGAGATGCCAGAGTAAAATGAAGGTAAGAATAATCAATTTTAGGCTACAAAGAATTGGTGTCCTGGTTTTTGTGTTATTGGCAGAATGCAGTTCCTTGCATAGATCACACTAAACTCTCATGTTTGTATTGGTTGCCAGCTGCAGGTGCTCAGAGATCATAGCTCTTGGCCTGTGCTCTTCTTAAGTCCTAAACCAAGTAAAGCTAGTTGAGTCCTTCCTGCCTGCCGTCTCTGCATCACATCGTACTTGTAAGAACACAAATGGTTGGTTGACCTATCTTGTTAGTCCCACTAACTCTTTCCTCAAGGTCCATAACAACAATCACGTGTGCAGGTCTGTTACCATGAGACCTAATACACATTTGTTCAGGATTGGGATGTAGACATCTTTGAGGAGACTGTGTTTCTTGACTCTCATAAACACAGTATTGACTGCTCTTGGCATGGCTGGATTGGTTTCCCTTTTCTGCTCATAATGCTTCTTACATACTTTTCTTTCTTGCTGAAATTGGTGTGTAGATTCCAATCCCTTGAGAAATTAACATTAGATATAAGATATATGAAGAAATTGTAGGAAGAACAGTTTCTAAATTCACTTAAAAGCTTCAGAATATTCATTTCCAAAGGACAAAGTCTTAAGTATTTTCTGGGAATTTGAAAACCTTGTTCTAATCCTCAGTAGTCATCCACAAAGCAGCAGAAGGTAACGCATTACTCTGCTTAGAGTCTGTGTGATGCAGGAACATTAGAAGGATAAATTCCGAAGAGATAATTACTTAGAGCAATAACTTTCAATAATTTGTCTAAACAAATCTATCTTGATAGTAGATGATATTAGATGTTAACATTTTATTTTTTTTTTCCTTAGATCATCACAAAGTATGTTTATGAGCTCCTGGAAAAGGACTGCAATTTGCAAAGAATCTCTATTCCAGTAAGTCACATTTTTAAAAGTGTTTATTCCAAATAAAATGCTTTTTTCCATGTAAGATGGTTTTCAGTCCAGGAGAAAATTTTTCCTGTGTTGATGTTGACAATTCAGTGGCTGTAGGTTGGCTTACCCTGCTGTAGCAGTAGTTTTTACAAACTAAAAGGAATGTAAACGATGAACAGTGGTGGTTTCTGGTCTCTTTTTAACATGATGACAGGGAGGGTTCTTTCTCGTTTACCTTATCTCATTTCACCTAGATATTTCTCTTTGTGTTCTATAAATCAGTGTGCTTCACATTGTGATAAATCAGTGTGCTTCACATT